ACTAGTGATATGCTATTTATAAATGGGGGAAAATCTTTGTGTTAATTAGAGGTTTCATCAGGATCAAGAACTACTAGCTAGCAAGCAAAGCTAAATTATAAAGACAATATGTGATTCAGGGATGTGCCTGCAGAGAGGGGAGTGAGTCACGTGCAGGTGAGTCTGTGCGGGTGGGATTTATGCTGTGAATCTCATGGCTATGTCCAAGCCCTAGGAGACATATGCTCGGTTGGGAAGGGACATTTGCTTTTAATATATCTGAATTTAGTAGGTTTTTTGGGAATTAGGTAAGTGTTATTACAGACACCTACATTTGGTTTATAATAATATACTAGAAGTATAGTACAATGCCAATTAGTGTTTACCCAGCACAACATATTCTTGTTTATATTTCTGACTGCTACAGAAATAAACCAAATATACTTTCACGTTCTCTCTGAAGTGGCCCCTTGTTTATGCTTCTATGTAATCTTCTTCGTACTCGTTTTAGAGATTCTCTGATGGTACAGTTGATAAACAGGGACTGAATAATAATATTATTAATGTAAGTTCGTTAATTGAAAATGGGCTAAGGTATTCTCCCATACTTATCTGATACCCCAAAGTTTCAACGGGTGTAAGAGGAGTGCATATGAACGTTCCCAATGAAGAAAAATGTCATGTTTGTTTATACCTAGCAAATGTTAGCTATACTTAAGGAAATTTTATGGTGTCAAATGCACATAGAAGAATATTTCATTGATAGATTTATACCTTAACCATAAAAAATGAGTGTTATAAGTCACCCAGATGAAGCAAGTATAATATATCTAATCTTATTAATTTATAACACATTGATCAATTATTGAGGTCTTCCTCTTGTTTAGTCAATAGAATCTGCAAGATTTAGCTCAAATGCTCAATCTAGTAATTTAATTCGGTCAAATATGGAAGTAAATCTCTTAAATTAATTAGTCGCAATTAATTAAATTAATATTCAAGGAGATCGTCTCTGTTCTATCTCTCCTTGATAAGGCTTATATTAGTTACTTTGATAAGTCCTAGGCTATGAAATACTCTCTCCGATCATTAATATATTGGTGGATTAGATTTAATTCTATATATATATATATATATATATGACATCAACTAACTTTATCTTTTATATTTATCATTTTTTCTAACTAATTTACCTGATTTATAAACTAATATATAGTTTAATGTCATATAAGAGGTATTTTAAATATATAATGTCACTTATAATTAAATAATTTATTTTACTTTCTTAATAAATATGACACTGATAAATGTAGGTAGATGTGCGAAAGTGATCCATTATCTAAGCAGTTTAAATTCAAATTGAATAATTCAGATTCATTTTTATTTACTTTAATATATTTAAATAAAAGTAGTTTTGTAGCAACAAAATTTTTTTTTTAAAAAAAAGGGATAATCTCACAAAAAGAATTTTGAAATTACTAAATCCCAAATAGAGAAGTCCTCCAAAAATGTATTGTTATTTACAAGTCTAGTGTTGTCAAAACATATTAAGTGTTGTTACCAAATTTAATTTGAGATTTAGTAATTTCAATTTTTTTCCTGAATTCTTCCAAAAAAATATTATCACAAAAATTTAAAAAAATTTAAACTTTTGAAATCATATTTTCATCTTCTATACTATAACAGCAGAATTTTTGGATCCTCTTTGTGACCATTTTGCTTGATAAAGAAAGTGCAGCTTTTTTTTTATTTTTTAATAAGATGATGCCAACTGCAAAGTGCAAACCAATTACTTGAAAATCGAGCCCTAATTACATGAATAAAGCAGGAAAAAAAATTAAACTGATGGAAGAGGCCAAGTCTTCTTTTTATGGGGCAGTGGGTTGTTCCTTATGGAATTCAGATTCTCAAACATAAATTAAAGTCATGGGAATATTTAAACGGAAACATACGTTAAAGCCTGAAATGCCTTAGCTCAGTTTTTGCAGCCCTAACTACAAGACACTATCTGCTTTCATCAGTGATAAATACAAAAAACTAATAATCAAATATTTATTTTGAATCAACTTGATTTATTTAAGTCATCTTTGTCTCTGACGACATTTCACATATTATGAATTACTTATTTCATCATAATTTATGGCATTCATGACCAACTAATTGAGATCCATATCTACATGAGCAATGGTCATGGATACATTATAAGCCACATGGCGCATAATTTAAATTATTACACTATTCATATAATGATTATATTCGGTCCAACGTCAATAATGCTAAATAACATCAAACAGAAAATAAAAGATGGAGGATTAATCGTTTATAATTTTAGGATATAACAAACTATCAATTAAATATCACATAATAGTACTAAAAGAAGAAGAACAAGAAGAATATATATACTTGTCACGATTAGAATTTAAATCGTCAGAAGATAATGGAGCCGTTAACGAATATTATCTTTATTCAAATAAATAATTAAGTCCGGCAACTTTATGCTGTTTCTCTGTGATTCTCATGCAATTTCTGCGTCACTTGTTCCCTTCCAACACATACATAAAAAGTGAAAAAAATAAAGCTAGCCGAGTTCTTGTCTAGATTTCTTAAAATTATTTTAATATTTTAATTTAATGTACACAAAGTTTGCATATAATAATAATAATAATAATGAACCTCTAGTGTAATGTTTTCTGGATATTTGCATCCAAAAGTGGGTGATGGCTAATTAATAAAGTGCAAATTTCTTTCATAAAATTTATATTTGATATTCTGCTTGATTATGATCTTGATCCAGATACACAACAATCTAATTGCAGGATAGAGAGATTATTTTGGGGGGAAAAACTCCATTTTTGGAATTGAGAAAAGTTTGGTTTAGAGGCTATCCATCTTATTCTTGCTAAGACAAAACTTAATGACTTTTTATCTTAAATGGGGCCATATGCATAAAAAGCAAGTAATGAAAGTTGAGGACAAAATAAAGTTGATAATATTCTATATAAGAAAAGTGTATACAGCTTTATCATCCCCACCACTTTCTTGTTGGGCACAAGATTCATTTACAAGAGAGAAATATGCTTCTTCATCAATATGATTAGTCAAAACGACAGCCTCTCGTTTGTCGTATCAAATTACACGTATATCACTAACTTATCACACCCTTATCTTTATGACAAAGAGAGATAAGAGTACCAAAACTCCTTTGTGGTGTTCATTTTCATTATTAAAGTTCGTGTTCGGTACGTGGACATCACATTTTGTATACACCAAATCTTGGCAAGGTGTTTGTATATACTACGTCCACTCCTTGATTTAAGAGTTAGTTTAATATTTAATTTGATCATAAATATAAAATTTCAATCCATTTTATCTCTCATATTTATTTATTTATTTAAGTAGTTCTTATAATAGTTGTATATGTTAAAGGTTTCATCAAATGGTAGTTTCAGTTAATATACATGCATAATTAGCAAGGGTATACTATAGTGAAGATAACACTTATTTATTACAAATAACTAACTTAACAAATTTTTTTAATTCACTCAAATTAGTCGGTTAACTTTTATATTATGGAACAAATATAGTATACAGTAGTTCCTTTTGTGAGGAATACGAATTATTATTTTATTGTGAAAATTATCGCCAAAGTAATTATTATGCATAATGCATGTGTGAACTTTAGATTATACTGTTTGAAATTGAACATTATTCATATGCAATGTCAGTCAATAAGTGTGGCTGCGTGAAACATGTACAAAAGGTACCAGAAAATGAATTTGAATTGAAGGTTAATGTACAAGAAATGAAAGAAGATGCTAAAACACATATATGGAGACATGGAATCTCTCAGATAGCCAGCCTATCGCCTTTATATATTGTTCTTATGACTTTGTAAGACATAGAAAAAGTTATGTTTTGTGGGAAACTAGCTTAATTAGGTAATTAGTTTGCCTTAATTAATTATCCCTCGTTGTTAATTAATTAAATATGACGGTTACTGAGTAATTATGGGTTATTGGCAAAGATTTCCATATCCCCTTTCATATCTTCGTCGAATATTTAGAATTTCCTTTCATTTCATACTTATCATTAGTTGAAAGGTAAATAGCCTGAGAAAAGAGAAAATTACAGTTTAGTGTTTAGATCATTATTAGGTCAAATAATAACAGTTTTAGTCTTTGAAATTATGAAAAAATTCATTACAGTTTATCTTTTTGGAATCTTTAAAGCAATGACTTCACAAGAAGACTAGCATGCAAAAAAATTATTACTTTATAAAATAATTTTTAATAATTTTTGATAATAAATTTAAGCTAATTTTGTGTGACAGAAATTAAAATTATTTCGGGGACCATTTTATCAATTTGATTAAGAAAAACAACACAAAATAAAATTTTACACACAGACAAGCACATGTAGAGGTGTGTGTGCGTATGTATAGACAGAAACAGCTATATCTGACTTTTAAATTAAAGAACACTAAATTAGTAAAACTCTTAATATTCACCCGCGAGATATCATGCCCTTAATTAAGATCATGGTTCAAAGAGAAAACTTGGCTCGCTAATTTGGAGCAAAATCCAACAATACCCCAGACATAATATTTTTATTGCTTTTAATTTGTCTAAAAAGAAAAAAAAGAAGTCATACATATCCTCATATCCACAACGAAGACTTTCGCTGGGTATAAATTATAAATTATAAATGCGAAGAGATACTCAATCAAACAAGTTGATCACATGGCTGGCTTGTTTCATGCTCATCAGTCACCTAATCAGACGGCCACGATCAGATCTGATCACCAAATATAACCAACAAGGCAACATAGGAACCGTAGGATCTGTCCTATAATCTTTTATTAGCGTAATGTTTTAATTTGATTTTTTAAAAAAAAATTAAACAATATCGTCTCTATATTTGCTTCTCATGTGACCGACCACTTACCCTACTTGACCCTTTCATGGCGCCCACTGTGTCCTTCGCCTTCACTTTGTATATAAACCCACCCATTCCCTAGCTAGCTTCCCACACTAAGCTCAAATTAATATATTCTCATCATCATCCCCACAAATACACTCAGAGTAGAATCCTTTTGTTATAAGTTTTCAAAAGTTAAAACAAGTTTTTGAATTCGAATCCCAATAATGGCTCTCGGACTTGAAATCACAGAGCTAAGGTTGGGTCTTCCCGGCGGTGGTGGGGATGGTCAGGACAAGAGTACTACGACTGAGATGATGATGACGACCAAGAAGAGGGTGTTCTCTGAGATTGGCCATGTCGATGGTGGTGCTGGCGGTGGCAGCGAGGATGAGAACAGCTGCTCGGGCGACCGGAAAACACCCGCGAAGAACCCAGTTGTGGGGTGGCCGCCGGTGGGGTCGTACCGGAGGAGAAATAGCATGAGTGAAGGTCCCAAAATTTACGTGAAGGTTAGTATGGATGGAGCTCCTTTCTTGCGAAAAGTTGATTTGGGTTTGCAGAAGGGCTACTCCGAGTTAGCCTCATCCTTGGAGAAGCTCTTTGATTGCCACGGAATCGGTGAGTTACCATTTATTAATTCCTTCTCTAATTACTTGTCTGATATAATCCATGAGTTATATATATGTGGCTCACAAAAAGACATGCAAGTTCAGAAAAGGGTCGTATATATAATGAAATTAAAGTTCAAAAGAATGTTGGGCAAGTCTACATGGAGATCTATTATACTTTCCTGTTATATGATCAACTGTAAGATATATTTCTTTTTTCGGGCTTGTTTTGAAGACGTATAAATCCCTGTGATATATTAGAGAGGAGAGAATGTTTTGAACTAATGAAAGATCTATGTGCCTAAAGAGAGGAGGATCGGATATGAATATTACTGAAAGAAGAAAACATTGCTTGATTTAGTTATGTTTTGACAAATAAGGTAGGCGATTCATGAACATAAAGTTTGATTAATTAGTAATATTGTATAACATAGTTAGAGAACCTTTAATTAATTTAATTCCAGGGAGAATGACCACAAATAAACTAAGTTAGACAAAGGGGAGACAAAAGGACGAACATATATAATAACGAAGCTGCTTCTTGGATTGTTAAGTAGCTGTAAGAATATGCTAAATTGATCAAGAAAAAAACAGAACAGTGTAAAGTTAAAAGCATGCATGGAAACTTGAAAGGAAACGAAGGCAAAAGGCTTAAAATTTAATAATAAAAAAAGTTAATGGGAGAGATTATTATAATAATTATAAAGTATAATTATTTGGTTATTATATTGCAGGAGAGGCATTGAAGGGTGTGGACAATTCTGAACTCGTTCCCATTTATGAGGACAGGGATGGTGACTGGATGCTTGTTGGAGATGTCCCTTGGGAGTAAGTCCTTTTGTCCTCCATCTTTAATTTATAACCTTTCCTAATTAAATACTATTATTAAAAATATGGATCTTTATATATCCAAATTGCTTTAAATATGTAGGATTATATTGCTTTATTAGAATTGATATTCTTTAACCATAGATATGATGTGCATTGAAAGTTTTCATTTCAATTTTATTTTCAAATTATTTTATATTAAAAAATTTATTCTTTTCATAGGCATATAGATTTACCATTATTAGGTTTCTTAAAAAGTCCTCAAATCAATGAAAAATGTTTAATTTCTTTTTAGAGAGACTAATTAATACAGAAAATAAAATTGTACATGGAGTTTTAATTCCAGATCCATAAATTTCAGTACTTGACTTACCATTAATACAAAGTGAATTAGTGCTAATTATAACTCAAGCTGGTTTTATGAAATTCGTGAGTAGTCCCTACAGATTTCAAGTTGGTACAAAATTGATGTACGAATAAGTTAATTCGGCAGACATATCGTACAATAAGAATTTACTAATTAGGTTTAGATTAGTTGAAGAGAGAGAGAATCATCAAGTTGTGCGAGTAAGGAAAATTCTCGAGAACTTGAAAGGAAGGGAAAAAGGCCCGGTAAAGAGGGAAATCATTGATAATTTTCCGGGAAAGTCTGGAATTTTCATGAAGACTGGTTTGAGAGAGTATAGATTATAAAGTTTACGTGTTTGTGACACCAATAACATTTATTTTTTTGGACCACATATTGCCGACATGCGTGAATATATCCCTCACTATAATGTTGGAGAGAACCTTGAAATGGGGAGGGGCAAAATCTTTTCAATAATTGCTTGCCCTTAACAAGGGTAAAAAAAAAAATTATAATATTAATATTAAATGCATTTAATTAATTGTTTGTAGAAAGAAATTAAATTATATCAAATTTGTATCCTTAAATTAATCATAATGTGGTGTGTTTTTGGCAGAATGTTCATAGAATCATGCAAGAGGCTGAGGATTATGAAGAGATCGGAGGCAAAAGGCTTCGATCTGCAGCCAAAAGGGTCTTCGAAGGGCAAAACGAAGTGATCGGCGGCGACGTGCGAAGACTAATTATAAGTCAAAAGAAGAAAGTTAGGCTTCTTTTTAATCTAGTATGAATTCACGTCTGCGTTTTAGTCATTTCCACTTAATTAATGTCGTCGTTATATATATATATATATATATATATATGGATGTGTGCATCTTGGACACTTTTGTTTATGTATGAGATATATGGAGGACAATAGAACCTGTGTAGATGAGGAAAAACTCATCGTTTAATCTTATTATGAATCCATGTTTTGCCTTAACTTCATTTATTATTCTGCAGTATGTGTGTTTGTGTGTGTTTACGTCACTCGAGTTATTTCAATTCTAATCGCTTCTTCTTTTACTAGCCAACCATGTCATTTTTTTTCAAAAAAATTGTTTTGGAAAATTATGGTCATCAGTATTTTTCAGATTTTATTTTCTCTTCAATTTGTTTCGTGAAGTGGAGAAATTGAAAAATACACACGTACGCACTCACAAACTTTCGTTTGTTTTAATCACTTTCATATGAAGTTGCATCAATTTGTAACAGTGCTTTTTAGATGTGATGTGAATACCATGCTTATGTTTAAAGTTGGTGCATATATAAGAATTATAAGTAATTATTAATCATGACGAAAACTTTATTTATCTAATGAATTTTGCACATTTGCATTTAAGATCACAAATAAATTAGTTATAATTTACTAAAGTATTAAGTTACATTCAGCATTTTAAAATATGTTTTTCAATATATTTCAAACTATATGTGATTCATCCAGCTTAAAATACCTTTACAGTAATATTCAGTATTTTAAAGTATTTTTTATTTTTTTCTTGCATCCAATATTCTAAAATATTTTTTCAACAACACTCGGTGTTCTAAGTTCAGTGTGATGCTCATTGATTTCAGAAAACTACTTTAAGAGCAAAATTACAAAATATTTTAAAAGGCTGATTACTTTCGGAAAAAAAAAACTTTAGGATTTTTAGGTGAACCACAAATTAGTTTAAGATGCTAGGTGCTGTCGAAAAAATACTTTAAGATGATGCATATAAAGATAGCTAATCAGCATCGTTTATCATTGGGAAGTTTAACTTTTTCTTCATGTAACATTATATATATATATATATATATATTACTAAAGCATGCTTTCGACTTTATGATATCAAAGTCAATTAGTCAAAATGTCAAGACTTGATTTCTTAAAGTAAATTAGAAATTAAAAATTAAAAACTATGATCAACATAATAACACAAAAGAGCGATAACAAGAATTTCCAGTTCATGAACTGTGCATTTGTTCCTCGCATGAGGAACAGAATAAAGAGCGTATTAACATTGTGAATACCCCAACAAAAAAAAGGCGTAAACATTGAGCATTGTCTTAAAATCCGAGGTGCAGAATCTAATCCGTATCAGAACACACACACACACACACACACACATCAATATTCTAATTTCGATCCACGTCAAAAAAAATTATTCTAATTTCGAGACCAACTAACCCACTGTGTTTAAATTATAATTGACACAATAATGCTGTTGGTCCTGATGGATAGCATCGATTAGAGAAACGTAAACTGTTGTAATTAATTATAGATATGATAAGATAATAAGATTAAGTATGGTTGAATTAATTGTATATATGAGATTAATTATTTTCTAATCTTATAACACATGCATACTCCATTACGGGGTTGTGAATTTTTCTTGGGATCTAAGCTGTCCCGCCTGCAACGAATTTAGCTTCTCTTGTATATATTTTTCGGTTAAGTAGTTTAACTAATTATAGCAAGGGCAAAACGTAAATTGTTCTAATTATACGTATATTGTTTCCCATATATATCGTTGCAAATTAAAACATTCACATATTTAGTTAATTATTGGCAGGAAAATTTCTTCCAACGGTTCGGGTAATAAACTAAATAATAATATAATATGGCGCAGATTCAATGTTCTCCTTTGAAATTTGAATGGTTTAATTTTGTTCTTTATGTCATCCCTTAATTGTAGGAAAAAAATTTGAATTCCGTGTGTGCGCGCGCGCGCGTGTGTAATATTATCTGATAAATACCACCTTAAGTCATTTTTAAATACTTTGTTTTGTGAATTGCATAAAAATGAGTGAAGTTCCAAACAGATAAAGACACTAGCTGTAGCCTCTCAAAACAAGATAAAATGAATTAAAAATGGGCAATAATCATAGAGCCATAGTATTCTCCAACGTAACATTGAGAATATGTTGTCCTCTATGACTTTTTGGCAATACAAGGGACCATTGATCTTAGCATCTTTCCATAACCATATGTGCCAAATTATTTAGCTACGCGCATGGGCTAATTAAGAATATTTAAATGCATGTGAAAAATGTTTAACTAGTTGCGTTAATCAAGCACTACACTACTGTATCTTGATAATAAATAATAAATGATGCAGAATAATCAATAATAAAAATCTTAAAATTTGAAAGTTTGCATTTCTTTCACAACGACAAATTTTTTCCACATCATCAATACAATATCGTTAAGCATTTGGAACACCTGCAGATGATTATCCATTACAATACTACTACAATAGAAAATAATCTCGTTAAATGATAATGTATAATACAGACTTATACATTGGACATAACATGACCTAAAAAAAAATACTTCTCCCGGTTGTTATTATAAACACCTAATAATAACTTTGTATAAATTAACAAAATTAGCTATTTCTAGTAAAATATCAAAATTACCTTCAATAAAAATCATTAATTTGAATGGTTGGTTAATTAACTAGAAAATTTTATGATTAGTTAGGGACCAAATAAAAATAGTCGGAAAAAACTAATGTCTTACAAAACAAAACAAAAATTAATAAGGATAGAAGAAATATGCCGGAGGTATTTATGAAGTATACCAAGGTATTTATAATAAGGATAGAAGAGAATATTATATAACCATGATCAAGAAACGGATCTGAGGATCCCATTAGGATTATAAGTAAGAAAACAAGAAGATTACTTAGACATGAAACTAACAAACAAACTAATTAATCTAAGCAATTAATTGTACCTAAGTAGTGATGATGTTGTTAGGCATAGTACTACTTCCAATCTTTAATATAAGAGTTAGTTGACTAATTTGAGTAGATTAAGAAAATTTGTTAAATTAATGATTTGTAATCATTAGATGTCATCTTCCCTAGAACACTCTTTTTGATCATGTATCATTTAATCATGTGCGACTACTACAAAAACTATCTTAAGAAAAATAGATAAACATGAAAGACAAAGTGAATTAGAATTTTATATTTAAGACCAAATTAAAAGTTAAATTAGCTCTTATATTAAATATCAGAGATAGTATAATAATTTGGGGACACAAAACTAAAATACGAGGAATGGGTCCACAGTTCCATGATGGATTGCCTCCCATTGAATAGTGGTGGTGGTGGGTAGCTACATATACTTAGCTCTTATCTCTTTCTTTCTCTCTGCTCTTTTTTATTTTTTTGCTTTCAGTTTCTTTCAACTTCAAAAGGGTATAAGGGACGATTCTTGCAAGTTGGAAAGCAGTTTCTTGATAATACACTTTTTCTCCACTTTGTTCTTCCTGTTTTCTTGTTTCTTATTTTAACTTTTTTTTCCCACTGATTATTGCTAGATGTTAAAATACCCAGTTGGTATCTTGTGCACGAAATGGGGTATAGTGTTATCGAATTAAGACACGTTGTTTCATCATCTGGATCCAGAAGGATGTTTCAGTGTTTGTCTATATGGAGTTCGTTCGTTATCTGATCAAGTAAGTGGTTGAAATTTAGTTATCTGTAAGATTGTTTTCGATTAGTATATATTTTAATGGTAAGTTTACTAATTTATTGGCCAAGATATTAAACTTAATTTCACAATTATTATTGTCCGAAGAATGATACGTTGATTCGGAATCCTAAAAGAAGGAAAAATGCCTAGTTACTTTACTTAATTAATCTTATATATTTAAGATGCTTACTTTCAATCAAATTATTTTTTTCCGATATTGATGATTAATTAAGAGTATTATTGCATTTAAATAAAATTTTAATTAAATATATTAATGCATCAACTCAGCGTTTGTTGGAATTTCCCGTCTACGAAACATCGTCATACTAAATTATGATTTACAAATCTAATGGAAATGTTGAGCTTGGGAATTGAACATTAAAATTCTGGATTCGATGCTACATAAGAAATTAAGTATTATTTAAAAAAAAACTATCATTATTATTAACTAAAAACTTATCATCCATATTAGTGGATATAATAAATTGTTGTTATACATTCAATACTCATTATTTATGTGATATGAGATATTGTATATAGAAGACCATAATCGACCATAAAATCTTCGTATGACTATAATATACTACATAAGCTACTTTCAATATATTAGCGATCCCTTTTCAATGAATAACAGGTTTTATGTTTCTCCAACAAAATATTCTTGTGTCGTCTCTTAAATATTATGATGGAATTAACTAAATAAGATTCCGATTTGAAACCTAATCGGAAAAAACAATTTGAAAAAGTTGCCTTATATATATTGAATAAAAAATAGAAAAAATTCTAGAAAAAGAACCCTAAAATTAGTATTTTTCAATTCAGGCAATGATATAGGAGGAAGTAAACCCAAATTAAAATTTTAAAATTAAAAAAATGACAAATTAAGATTTATAATTTTACAATCGGGACTTGTTATTTTCAGATGAACTATTGTCATTTTTAATTGATTTACATGTTATGCATAAAAAAACATGTTGTTAATCCCAAATCAAGATTTGTAATTTCACAATTAGGATTTAGTATTCCCAAATAAATTGTTATCATTTTTAATTGATTCATATTTTATTTTACATGTTATATATATCAAGAAAAAACATATTATTAATTTTAATTCAAAACTTGTTATTTTACAGTCAGGACTTATTATTTCCATATTAATTGTTATTCACAAATGGGCATTTTTGTTATTTCTTTTAAGTTTCAAAATTTTAAGTTGAGTTTATTTTTTAGGTGCTAACTGGAAAATATTAATTTTTGAATTTTTTTCTGAAATTTTTCATAAAAATCTTTAAATATAAATTAATCACTAATATTAAATATCAAATAGTTTATGGAATAACTTTTTAAGTTTTTGCACGGGAATTTCAGCAACCGCCAAGGCAATTACGCTCAGGATAATTCAAGTGATGCTTCGCAAAAATTTCATGATTCTTTAGTTGACTAATAAAAAAGATTATTTGGTTAAAAAAAAGATTAAAAAATAGAATGTTAAGAAACTGCGTCAAAACCGGCACGTGGCGGTAGTTGAAAGGGGAGTCGGTCGCGGGAACGGACAAAGCGACATGGTCACATGGGGGAGGTGGGGTCCACACCTGAAACTTTGAGTTATGTAGGAGCACATGAATTTCGCGTAAAGTTGACCTCTACTTCGAAAATTGAAACATGCAGGCCCCACGTGTTCTCCCCTCTTTCCCCTTCTTCTCCATTCTTTATTCTCTTATCTTTCTTTTTTAGGTCTGTTACATTCAAATGAAAAAAAGTCATCTGGTTAAATTAATTACTGATAACAAAAATTCAAGTATTTTGAAAATTAAAAAAAATTGAACAAAAAATATCGATAATTTTTTTTAGATTATAATTTATGTTTTTTATTTTATTATTATTTTGTTTTGAATAATAATATATCCAAAAGAATAAATATTTCGGATATTCAAACGTCATCATTGGCAACCTTGAAGAGGTTTGCTGCATGCACTGCTCTCCGTTTTTGTATAAAAAATAATAATAACTAATTTATTTAAACTAAGAGGTATAGTTAAAATTGATTAGAATCTATACATATAAATATTGCAAGATATGGACTCTAAACTATTTTTATTTGTTCAGCATTTTAAGGTGGTTTTAAATCATTATAGAGAATCTTTTAGAAATAAAAATATATATTTTTATAAATGATTAATTTAACTATTTTTTTAATTATTATAGATTTTTTTTGAATCAACTTAAATACTCATACACACAAACATGTAATATGCATGTCAAGCTAACCCAAGACCTCATCAAACATGGTGAGTAGTGCTGTTATTGAGGCAGCTTGCCGTCAAAATAATACTCTTTAAATTGGTTATTTAATTTCTATATTTAGAATAAGAATAGTAGAGTACAATGTTTAAGCAAAATGTCATTCCATCTTTATTTCAACAATTCTTTTGGCCTTTCTAGCCTAAATTTAATTTTGAAAATAAAATCAAAGCATGATATGTATGAACACTATTAGTTGAATGAAAATGAATTATTTTCTCCAATCCTGAATATAATATCATATTAATTAATATTTAGACTCAAGAAAAATAAGAAGGTAAGTCGGCTATTTATAATTAATACCCAGAAAATTGGTGACACTTTTTAAAAAGATAATCGTATCATTTAATGAATAAAACTTATTTATAAAGATAAAAATAATTTAATAAAGGGAAAACCATATTGAAGGTACCTATACTTTCTCTCAATTTTTAATTTGGTACCTATGTGTTTTTTTCCCTTTAATTAAACATTTAATTTTATCTTTTTAGCAACATTAGCTCTTACAACTTTGTTCTATTGATATTTTTAGTCTCTACATAAGGATTAATGATGTTAATAGAGGAAAAATAAAGATTTAGTTAAGAACAAAAAACACATAGGTACTAAATTGAAAATTGAAAAAAAATATAGGTACCTCCAATATAGTTTTTCCTTTAATAAATCAACATATTATGCGAAAGAAAGTTTTAATATATATAGAAGAGATAAGGCATATAAGATGTTATATTTAATGATGTAAGGTAAAAAGCTATTAAGAATACATATAAATTTGTTTTTTTACCCTAAAACTAGGAGCGGACGGAGTATAGCATGCTACCATTTCCTCCAAAATACCGACTAAGAGACCAATTACTACTCAAGGAAGTTGATCTTGTCTTTTGAAAATATCAAAGGCAACCCAAAAAAAAAAAAAAAACATGAATCTGAAAAACTGATGTGGACGTTCGGGCCCAAAACGAAAGGATGTAGACGTGGAACATTCTGGTTCGTCCACTTGAACCCCACTAGAACCGACCGGAGCCGGAACTTGCTATTGCAAAGAGACGAAAATCCCGTACACGCTGCCGTCATATAGCGTCACTTACATGGACGAATCGTAGCCGCTCTTTTCTAAACTCGTGTCACCTTCGGAGTGGTGACGCTGAAGCACCAACGCCGCCCATACACGAGTCCTTCATTCTTCAAACCTAAATATAAATCACACAAATTGCTAAACCCAAAGGACACATTATAGTATTCCCCCCGACAAAGCGAAAAAAGAGCACTATCGCCCCTCCAACTTTGAACGTTGACAAGACTCCAAGCACGGCGGTCGTTCGTTGAACCGAAAAAGAAAAATGTCGCCGGAGAGTACTGGCACCACTCGCTCCACCCAATCCGACGTCACGGAGCTGAACCTGAAGGAGACGGAGCTCACCCTCAGCCTTCCCGGCTCCAATAATATCTCTCGTTCTAAACGTGCCTTCTCAGAAACCACCGTCTTCAGCCCAACGTCGTCGTCAACTAGTACCCCAGCACCAAAGTAAGAACCTATAGATATATATTTGATTTTATAATTCTGTGCGTGTGGGTGTTATACATAAATAGGTACATAGATGCATATTTTTTAGTGTCTGGACTGGTTGTGATTGGGTGGTGGGTTTTTTGATGATTCAGGGCACAAGCGGTGGGGTGGCCGCCGGTGAGGGCGAGCCGGAAAAATGTGATGAGGAGCTGCAAGTACGTGAAGGTGGCGGTGGACGGAGCTCCGTATCTGAGGAAGGTAGATCTTGAGAAGTATGAGAGCTATGATCAGCTGCTCACGGGTTTAGAGGCCATGTTTGGATCCTTGACAATTCGTAAGTATACTGCGTTATTAGGTTGATATACTTCCGGGTGGTAATTATTAGAATTGTGGTTTTAAAGGGTGATTTTGTAATTTCGATGTCTGCCATGGATTCAGGCAATCATTTGAATGAGAGGAAGAAGATGATGGACCTTGGGAATGGGGCAGAGTACGTGCCCACATATGAGGACAAAGACGGTGACTGGATGCTCGTCGGAGATGTACCTTGGAAGTGAGTTCTCTATTTTACCCTTAGAAAATCTAAACATTCACTATTCATGCCAGCCATTTAAATTTTAAACCGATCAATCTTCTGACAAATTTTCTATGTTCCTGTCTCTTCTAGGATGTTTGTTGAATCCTGCAAAAGAATCAGGTTGATGATAAAATCAGAGGCCACTGGCTTAGGTCAGATTTCTCTTTTATGATCTGTGTTGTATTTTTGTTTGACTAATTATCTCAATATATATATACTGATAAGTAATCTATGTTGTGAAATGCAGAGATTCGAAGAACAGAGTTGAAGCTGGAAGAGAAAACGAGTGGCAATTAATGAAGAGGTTGGATGGAGTTTTGACGAGTGGCTGTACAGAGAGGCTTTTGAATGTGGGTGACAGGTTAAGAGAAGAGAATTTTATAATAAGAGAAGGTGTGTCTGTAATTTCCAACGATGCCTTCTGCAAGTTTTGTAGTTGTTAATTACTTGTTAGACAAGTTATCAAACTACCTACGACGATGCTGGACCAGGCAGACTATTAACAGTTTATGATGACATCTTTATTATCTCATTAATATGTATCAATACAACTTTAATTTCTTTTCTCAGAATATCCCTACAGTTAATAGTGAACGATGTTATAATGTCGCCTTAAAAGTGACCATGAAATGGTTATATTCTTAGACCATGATTACCGAAATAAATAACTGAATGTTTATGCATATGTGAAACACATATTTATAATTGGATATTCATTATTCTTAAGGGAAAATCAAACCCACTGTGAATCTATTATGAGAATAATATCATTAGCTGGCGTTTGCATATTCATATAAACTCTAAAAAGTGAGATGCATTTGCCATTGTTGAAAATGGACCATTGTCATGATTCAGCCTCACAGATCAACATCTTGCCATGGCTTTTCAAACTGATTGGGGCAAAACTATGACAATTCTAATCTTTGGAGTATACATTGTCACGTTTTTAACACTAAATAATATTACTTCTTGTTCTAAGAGTTAGTTAAAGATTTAATTTAGTCATGAATATAAGTCTTCAATCTACTTTATTTCAAATATTTATCCATTTTGCTCCCAAATAATTTCTATACATCGTTAAGGAATTTTCATCAAGTGATAGCTAATTCCAATGCATATAATTAAAATCAGTATTTTAGGAAAGTTAACATCTATTTATTATAAATAACTAACTTAATTAGTTTCTTTAATATTAACAAATTAGTTTATCTAACTTTTATATTAAATACTAAAGTTAATAATAATTTATCACAGTTCACCGTGGCAAACTACTGTATGTGACGACTGCTAACAGCTTTAACACTAAATGAAGGCAAGCACACTACTAATCTAACTTTACATAATATTTCATTCTAGTCCCTTAATTTGAAAGTGTTTTTTAATTGTTCAACCATAATTTCGTTAGTTTCATTAAAGAAAATATTTTCATTGAAATTTTAAATATTGGTAAAGCATTATCAAATGTTGCTGTTATGTTTAATTTTTAAAAATAACAATAATTAGCTCAAAAAGCCATCATTTGAAATTGATGAGGTTAGAATTAGAGGACAAAAAGATATATTTTATAAAATCAAAGGACTAGATTAAAGCCTTGTACAGAATTAGGGGATAAAAGATATAGTTTTGCAAATCAACATATATAACACAACATTTATATAAAATGGCATGTAAGTCATGAACACGGCAACTAATCAATTCTTATATATCCTATAAAATGCATGAAGAAGCCCACATCCGGTTATGTGGTGCTTCTTGCCCTTAATTTAAAAGGGGCATAGCCTTTGTGGAGTTCAAGCCACAAAGCAAATGCAATATGGGCCTAAAAGATTACAGAGAAAGAAATAACGAATCGGCCCATTGGATCGAGAACACCTCCAACATTGCCAAGACAAATGGGCCCATTTTCTAGCCACTAGCGTTCTCGAATTCAAGCCATAAATAAGGTTTTCACTTGGAAATGGTGGAGCAAGCTGGCGTAAATTATATACTACTTCAGTCCCAAATATAACTCACTCATAAGAAAGAATTTTGGTTATAAGTATAAGTCACTTATAGTATATTTAATATTTGTTTTTCAATTTTATCCTTGTTTAACTTTCATTAGAAAGAGAGAAAGAATGGAGAGATACAAAAACAATTTGTATAAAGAGCCAACAATAGTAAATTCTTAACTCATACAAGAATTATATATATATGACACTTGTATAGCTTTGTTCGAAACAACTTCAGTCCTGTGATTAATGGACGAGATGACATGAGGAATGGATTAAATGCAATTGGGAAGGTATTGTAATTGCAACCACCGTTATAGAGCTTATAATGAATGGGCAATTCTGCCAGGCATGAACACTGCGTGGGATCTCAGCTTTGATAATACACAGAATTAACAATCCTTGGACAACTATCACTTTGTCCATATATATTAGCTCTGGTTTTTAATATAAAAGTTAGATAACTAATTTAAAGAGATTAGAAAAATTAGTTAAGTTGGTTATTTATAATAAATATGTGTTGACTTCTCTAAATTACCCTATTTAATTATATGCATTAGAAGTACTTTTCGACAAAGACCCTATAATTAATAGGAATATTTTAGAAAAATATATTATAAATTTGAAAAAAAAAGATACTTAGGATCAAATTTAATCTCCAACTAGTTGTTATATTTAGAAGCAGAGGTAATATATATGCACAAATATATATATTTTCATATATGTGTGTAGGTAAGTCACTTGTATTTCCTATTCTCGCATACCAAAAAATACATTAAACTGATAAAATTTGTCAACTATGCTCCTAGTAAAAAAAAATGGCAAGGAAAAAATAAGTGATATATTTTCTCTCACATATTTTTTTATTGTATTTAATAAGAGTGAAATTGAAAAAAAAAAGATTATTAGTTTACTTTATGTTAGTTATATTTAGCAACAAATTTTTCTCCTATAAGTGACTTACATATAGGAATCGGTATAAGAACTTATTATTCCTGGGTCTCGAATTTGATTATCAACATGAGAAGCAAGAACTAGGTAGCTTTTAAAGTTTGAGTTTGTATGCAAAAAAACCAACACGCTAGATATAAGCTTTTCAGTATTACAAAATTCTGATAGGCTATTATGGAAGGGCAATTTTAGTGGTCAATATTCTGTGGCTGGTGCTTATAAATACACTATTATTTCCAATACCAATCCGGAACTAACCTCTGGTGACACATACTTGCATGGAAGTTGTTAAAGAAATTCCATCGATCTCCTCCCTCGTCTAGCATTGTTCATATGGAAGCTCTGATACAGAAACGGGAGAGCACCTTTTCTTACTCTGTCATTGATCCCATTTATCCTTCAGATCAGATACGAGTGTATGAGCAGAGATGATCTCCAGATTCCTAGTTATCAAATGCAATTTTGGAGGAAACAAAAGAAGTCGGAACTTACATTTGCTGGGCACTATATTACATTTGGAAATCGGTTTTAGTGCTCATAGCAGTAATAAACATGATGCTCATTGTTGCACCCGAATCCTGATCATCCCGTAGAAAGAAAAGAAAGAGGAGTTGCCACCAAAATTTTAAAAGGTTAATTTATGAAACCTAAAAAAATGTGGTCTACAAAAACTGGATACGGTTCAGGAGTCGATTGTGTGTGGGAAAAGTTTTAGGCACCCCACAATAACCGTTCAAGAAAACAATTACCCTAAATCAACTATTCAAAATTTATATGGCTTTTTTATTATGTTTTAATTACCCTTAAAAAAATAAAGATCGAAACAAAAAAACTTCTTATTTACCAAAAAAAATAATTATTTATAAAGTTAGATTTGACCTAGAAAAAAATCCTAGAGCCTACATACCTTTTAGAGGAATCAAAGCCTATGTAATTCGAGGATAAAAATTTCACTTGGTTGATATTTTTTAAAAAATATTTATTCAATTAAAAAATATTTTTTTGGTGGGTTGTTATTTTTTAATATATAAAAAAATTTTGTATTTTTATTTAGAAAATATTTTTTTGAAAGAAATTTTGGATTACCATCCCTGTGGAGGTTTTTATAACCTTACACGGGAGAATAATCGTTCGAGCCTGTTAAAGTTCTAAACACCCCACACGCCTCCAAAAAATATTTTGAGATTATATATATATTTAAAACAGACTTTCTATTTTATTATTTACTTACAAACATGGGGCCAAAGTTATTTTCTTTCTTTTTATTTCAAAAAGAAAATTTGCACAACTATATTAGTATTCTTGCAGAGACTCCCATAGTCTCACACAGTTTACCATTGGATTTAGATACCTGCAGAGGTTCTGAAAACCTCACACGGTATGGATTTTAAAAAAAGGAAGCACTTTCGAAAATGAAAAGAAAGAACAACCCAAAGTAATTCATCATGAAACTCGAGTTAAACAAAGTAGATAGGAATGAAAATTCATACTTGATGTTCTACTAATCAATTGGCTAAAAAAAAAGGAAAATACAATATATAATAATCCAATAATGAAAAACTATATACACATATTAGCAAAATGACATGGACAAAAATGAAATAAATAAAATAAAAAAGGAAGAAAATGAGTACATATGGAGATAAAAGATAAGGACATATTTCAAACAAATCAAAGAGAAGGAGAGTAGTGAGAATTAACTGAAATCATGTTTGATTCAACCCTCTAATCATCATTGTTCAAGCTCACAAATGTGATAATAATCACAAGAGCATAAGCTTTCTTTGTATAGAAGAAAGAAGATGATGAACAATAGACTTTTCTCTAGTTAGGCGTCTTCTCTTTTTTCCCAACCCAATTCATCGTCATGAAATAAAATGATCGAAAAGCTCTCTACGATGCCTCATTTTTCACCAAAAAATTCTGAACATCTTCCTCCAACCCTTACTCTTTTATTTATAGGCTCCACCTAGGGTTTCCAATTTTTCTTTAATTTTTTTTTAATTTTCTTTAATTATGACTTGTAATATAACTTCCTATTTAAACACCAAATCATCATCAAATTGTGATTTTTTATTTTAAATTTTTTTAATAAAATTTTCACAATTATGACTCTAAAAGATATTTCTAAATTGAGGAGTTAATCATCTTAAATGAATTTTTTTATTTTTAAATTTTCTTATTTTCTTTAAAGACCCCACCCCGTATTACCGCATTTGGAAGTCAATTGGCTTTTAATTTTTATCCTTTATTTTATTTCCTTTTATTATAAGAGAGATATTCTTATTTAATCTTTTTTTTTTATTTGCCACATGGTGGATTTCTCAAACAAAAATCAAGGAGGATATTACTATTTTATTATTCTTTTTTTTTATTTGTTTTATTTTTATTTAATATTTTTTATGAGCCCGGGATAAAATTGGGTGTTCACACTCATCCATACAGTGAAACCTACATCATTCAAATAAAATTTTAATGGTTTGAATTTAAAATTTGCAACTAATAATTTTTAAATAAAAATTTATTTTTTAAAAGACTTATAGTCAAGAGATTACATTTATTTTGGATTATGTATCTATAACAAAAAAATGATTTTTAAAAACAGTAAAATATAAAAAATTAAAACTCATATGTCTATTATATTAAATTTGAACGGTTTATATTTGATAAGTATTATGCGCTCATTGCTACAGTGAACATCAAAACTAAGGTAGGTCAGGAACGTGATTTTCTTCAGGAGTACACGAATAGAGCCGAGCGGGGTGATTTCTGCTGTTAATACTGTTAGTAGGTTGGGATCTGATTGGACGATCGCAAACTCAGCGTTACAGAAACTCAGAACTGATGCATCCAAGCAAGTTAACATAATATTTCCTTTTCATTTTCTTTTTTGGTTGTATCTGCTTGCTATTAGTTATATAATCATTAAAAACAATTCATTGAGATGATCCCAGACTCTAAGGATCCTAGGCAGAAAATATATCTTGAGATGTTTCCCCCTATTTGATTGATTTGGCTGTCTTTTATTATTAAAAAAAATTACGTTCTTATTTTTTTAAAAGAGCAAACTCATAATATATAGATTAAATTTAAGGCCAATAAAGAGGAAAAGGCAAACAACAAAATCAAGAGAACTCTCCTTGTCGGGCAAGAGGGTAAAAAATTAGTGCCTTGAGGTAGAAAGTGAAACGAGGGACATCTCTGGTAGAATTCTCATAAACATATATAAACATCACTATCAAATGAATAATTCAAGTTCCTTTAATTTTGCTGACAATATTCCCTAATGAGTCATAAAATTTGGAGATAAATCATAGTGTGTACCTATGAAAAAAAGGATAGTTACATTTATGATTTCATAAAGTCTAACAATATTAATTACGGAGAGAATAAAATAGAAGCCTATGGGGTGAGATCAATCTATTTTGGGCTTAATATTTTTTGATTCACTATAACCACAGGAAAAAAATGACGTAAAAAGAACTTCAAAATACTAAAACACAGAAGGGATTTCTGAATTTGTAAAATCTCAAAACGTGTTTCATTCTTAAAAGAAGTCACATCAGCTAAATCATGCAGTAGGGGTAGGGTGAATAATTTATAAAACTATTCCAACCCTTTTCTTTTTCAGGATAATTATATGCCAATAATTCTAACAAGCAACAACATATGACCAAAAACGAACAAACCATGATTACGATATATAATCAAGAGAGATCTGTCTTGCCCCTCTTTTCCCCCCCACAACTAAGGACAAAAAAAAAAACTCAGTGGGCTATCTTTATTCTTTTCACTCAACTTCTCTGACGTGGGATTGGTGGGTAGTGAAATTAGGTGACGTTTCCAAAATGTCTTTATATACCTATTATATATTTATATATATATTTGGAAAAGAATATGATATGATACCAGTTACTGAATTGATGATGAGATATCTGAAAATTGAGTCACAACTACTGGGAGTGACATTTTTTAATTCCCTTTTAAGACTATTTAAAGTTAAAGGGTGTTTTGATCAGCACGTACACCTTTCAAGTTTTTCAAAAGTTCTTAAAAGTAATTTCAGAAATCATATGGAAGATCTATATGAATCATAATTTTACCATTTCGTCTCAATTTGTAATTCTCCCTTTTTATGTGGTGTTTCAAAAAAAAAAAAGAAGATATTTTATGGAGAGCCAGCCAGCCACGTATATGCAATCTGTTCCCCACATTGTTAACAGTTAGTGGGAGTACTATTAATCGAAACAGATCAAATTAAAGGACTTCGTTTTTTCCCCCCACAGCGGATAGCAGTAGGGACTGCTTCGAATTTTTTTTCCAAATATAGGGAATACTTTAAAACAATTTAGACCAGAAGACATTTGAAAAATAAAAAACACAACAATTGTGCATGATTGATTGGACACAGCATCAACAGTCACGTGGGAATTAAAAATGAACATTTGAAGAGTAAAATACACTGATCAATTACACATAATTTCCCCTCGATTTGCATCAATTACACAGATATCTCTTCTATAATTTAAAAATTTTAAACACATCTTTGTTACAAAAATTATAAACATATTTAGTTAAGTATATATAAATTTATTACAAAAATTATTTAAATTTTTAATCAAATATTTTTATGTTTACCTTAATTAAATAAAATTGATGTAACTGTAAAAATAAAATTTAAGAATTTATTAGAATGAAGAGTAAAATAGTAAATAAATTTTATTTTAATATAAATTTTAATTAAAAATAATATTTTAATAATCTTTTTAGAATATTCTTAATGGTGTTAACTAATTGGACTAAAATGTATGTTTTTAAAAAATCAATATATTTTTGGCGCAAACTAACTTTTTCTCCCCTTGAAAAACTAGTACAAAGTTGAAGCAATTTCTTGATTTTTGACTTATGATTTTTTCAGGTTGCGAGCTTTCTGAAATTAAGTTTTTATTATATTATTTAAATAAGTTTACATCAAACTGATTTTTTTTTCAATAAAAGATTAAAGATTATTCAAATATACATCACATTACATTAATTAATTAACTTTCACTCCAATTTCATTTTGCAAAACTGGATGGGAATGAAAGTTTTATAATCCAAACCAGCTCAAAGTTTTTATCATCATCTTGACTTGTTTTGTGACCTTTATTTTACATTAATTAATTTCATAAAACGACAAGGATATATTTTTTATCCTCTAATTTCATAGAATGTTTCAGTTTAGTTCTTTAATAATTCTAACACTCTTAATTTCAAATAATAAATATTTTGTATAAAATTATTTTAAAAAAAAAAATTTTATCAGCGTTTTGGCATCATTTAAATCGGTTTTTGCCTGTTTTTGGCAGCATCATTGAAATCATGTCACAGCTTATTATTACCAGATTATTATATAATATTGCTCACATCACTTGCCGGGTTAATAATTTTATACAATTCCCTTTTCTGCTAGTTCCAAAATAAGTAGCTAGCCTCATATTTGGGAGGACCCAGTAATAAAGGTGCCTTATCACGTATCAGCAGGAAATCACAAAATAGTGGACAACAATCCATACCATAGCATATTACTCATCCATCCTAAATTTAAAACCTATTTTATAGTATAAATTACATTATAAAGTGAGTTTTTCATTTAGAATATTAAAATATGCAGCGCCATTTTCCTTCCCCTCTCTCCATATAATATATAACTACTTCCTTTCCATTTCATATTAACCATCCACCATCCTTCTCCTTCTCCTTCTTCATCTTCTTCTTCTTTCTTTTTTCTTTCATTATTCTCTGGTAAAGCATCTCGATCGTTCCCTTTAATTCTAACCTCTTTTGATTTTGTTTTTAAATTTGTACTCATTTTCATTCTGTGAGTGTGAACCTTCAAAACAAACCAGTTTCATGTCTGTCTTTTTAAAATGCAAATGATCAGTATACCAAAAAAAAAATAGTACAATGCAAGTGATCAGAAAATTAAATGTGATTTCTTCCTCGTAATAGTAATTAATTAAGTTTCACAGAACAATGCATGGCTTTTTTACTCTCAGTTACATTCCCCATTATCTCTCTCTGTTGTACAGATCTCACAAGCTGAGTTGAAGATTTTCTTCATAAGCTGATATTCAGTTTGACATTCTTGAATCTGCAGGTAAATTTCTGATTCCTCAATGGAGGACCCAGCCGCCGACGCCGCGGGCATTAACAACGCTGATGCTGAACCCTTCAAGATCTTCATAGGATACGACTCACGCGAAGATATAGCCTACGAGGTATGTCGCTACTCCATTCTGAAACGCGCCTCCGTCCCCGTGCAAATCACGCCCCTCAAGCTCTCCGATCTGAGAAACCAAGGCCTGTACTGGCGGGAGCGAGGCAAGCTCGAAAGCACCGAGTTCTCTTTCTCTCGTTTCTTAACCCCATACTTAGCCAATTTCCATGGCTGGGCTCTCTTCATCGACTGCGACTTCCTCTTCCTTTCCGACATCAAACACCTCGTCGACCTCGTCGACGACAAGTACGCCGTCATGTGTGTCCACCACGATTACACTCCGACGGAAGCCACCAAGATGGACGGCGTCGTTCAGACGGTATATCCTAGGAAGAACTGGTCATCCATGGTTCTCTACAACTGTGGACATCCCAAGAACAAGGTTTTGAGTCCAGAAGTTGTGAACACCCAAACGGGGTCTTATCTTCACAGGTTTCAGTGGCTTGAGGACGATGAAATTGGGAGTGTGCCTTATGTGTGGAACTTTCTGGTGGGTCATAATAAGGTTGACGACAAAGATTTGAAAAACAGTTTTCCTAAAGCTGTTCATTACACACTTGGTGGTCCTTGGTTTGAGGATTATAAGGATTGTGAGTTCGGGGACTTGTGGGTGAAAGAGATGGAAGAGTACAAGAAAACTTTATGTGTTAATTAGATTTTGAAACAGCTTATGGATTTGAAGAATCCATGGATCTTGAATCGATCACTCTCTGTCTGGGTATGTGCATAGTTGATGAGGAGAGAATTATCATGTTCAAATAAAGTTATTCTAGAGGTGTGTCTCTGTGTAAAAGGGATTGTACTGTGAACTTTCCATAAATAAAATAAAGTGCCTTTCTCAGTGTTTGCAAAATTTGCAGCGAGTTGTAATAATTCCTTTTCCACCTATAAATAGAAACTTTTATTTGTTCACATGCGTACGGAATAACAGATAGAGACAAACCAGAAAATAGACCACTGAGGAAACTGCGTCTCTATTCAATCATAACCCACTATTTTTGGAAAGAGAGAAAACTAGGGAGGAATGAAAGTTGCAGAGGAAAATGGAAGGGGGATTTTGCCCTTTTTGAATGAGAGAGGAAAAGTGGAAGAAGAAAAGTCCTGTAAAAAAAGGTGTGGAACCTCACCACTCCTCCAATTTTCTCTTCCCGTATGGACTGATCTGGAAATTTATTAGAAGTAAAAACTTGTTTCAATCTTCTATTTTTGAAGGGAGAAGCCTCTCTTTCCTTCTCTTTTTATTTCCATCTACTTCTCATCTCAGCCATTTAAATTGCAATTTGAATGGTCCACATTTTATATTATTTACAATAATTTTATAAAATATTTTTTATTGTTGTTTTGAGTTATCATGACTAAAATTCAGTTGTTTAGTTTTATTTATTTATTTATTTTAAAAAAATTAACATTCTATTCTTAATTTTATACAATATAAAATTTAAACTGTTCATATTGTAATTTTATAATTAGATGGGAAATGAAGGGGAAGGAAAGTGGAGACACCTATTCCCATTTTTGACACATAAATTGGAATATATATATATATTTATATATATAAAGAACGTAACCAACACTAGTTTCATACGTATGCAAAAGTAAGTTCTAAATATTATTGAGTAGTCATAGTAGACATAGGATCGATAAGCATGTTTAGAGGCTAATGAGAGGAGAGATTGTCATTTTTAAATTAATTAAACTTTTCTTCTCCAGTTCTCATCTCAACTATTAATATTACAATTTGAATGGTCCAGATTTCATATTATATAAAATAATTTTATAAAATATTTTTTTATTATTGTTATGAATTATCACGACTAAAATTTAGTAGTTTAATTTTATTTATTTAGTGTTTTAAAAAATTAACATTCTATTTACAATTTTATATAATATGAAATTTAAACTGTTGATGGGAAATGGATGGCAATGGAAAGCCCCCATAATTTCCAATTATCTTTTTATGGTTTGTTATGACTAAAAATTTGGGTATCAAAAATTAATTAAAGAATCAATCAAACAATGAGGGCACAACCATCGCCAATCATCCTTATATCAGTTGGCACTAGTGCATTCCTAGCAAGATTGGGGAGCGGGTTGGATCCTGGAGCATGTGCTGTATTTTTCCTTCCTATTTGGTCAGAAAAAAAAAGAGAGAGGACATATCTAATTGTAAAATATATAAACAAGTTCAACTAAAAAAAATTAATTAAAAAGATTTATTAATGCCAATTAGATTTGGGGGTAAGAAATCTTATGTAACATAAGGTCTGTTTAGTTGGAGGAGAGTGTAGAGAGAGAGAGATATTTTAATGCATTCAATTTAAAAAGAAATGAAGAAGTGTGGGGTTAAAGCTTTTAATTAATTTGTATCATTTTAATTTTTTTCAAAAAAATTATAATCCTACTTATTCATTTTTCAAAAAATAAACATATTAAAACCTCACATCCCATTCTCCTCCAAGTCCCCAACCAAACATGCAACCTATATAAAATGGAAAAGTTCATATCATGAGCGCTTTCTCTCATTGACATGTGATTAAACTTGAATTTAAATTGCCAGGTAACATTACTTTTTGAATAATTTTTTTTAAAAAAAAGATTTGCTAATGTCACCAACATTCTCCACAATTGAAATATTCGTTTGATTATTTTTTTGTACAAGGGAGAGCTAAAGCCCGAAAAGAAAACTAGAAACTAGCTATTAACACTATCATTACATCTATATTCCAAATCCACAAGAGCTTTTAACTCCTCCGGGCAGAGCAGTCAAACAAAGAAGAATGGAAGAGACCCATTTTAGCCAGAGCATCTGCCACCTTATTTGAATCTCTTAGTACAAAGCTTAACTGAACGTTCCAGTTGAAATGCAACATATCCCAAATCCTAAGAAACATCAGACTACAATAAACGCCCTTCTCCTTTCTGTTTGATTGCTCAATTAAATTCTTGGAATCAGATTCAAGAATAACGTGTTTGGACCCAGAATTCCAGGCCAGATTTAAGCCTTTGAATAAAGCCCATTCTTCAGCCTCAAGGGCAATACAAGTTCCTCTGCTGTGATAGAAACCAGCAATCAGGTTTTACTCATTCTCTTGGCTTCTGTGATGCGCTTGAAGCAGAGGAATGGGCTATTTACAAGGGACTCAAAATGGCTTGGGATTTTGGCTTCAAAAAAGTCATTCTTGAGTCAGATTCTAAGGCACTTGTTGATGTGCTGCTCATCAAAAAGAAAGCCTCCCTTAATGGTAGTCTAATTTTCTTGCAGATAAGACACTATATGGAGTTCAATTGGGAGCTTCTTATTAATTATATTCCAAGACAAGAAAATACCCTTGCTGATGCCTTGGCTAAGGAAGGACTTTCCTCTTCCGCTTTTTTAGATGCTTGTCCGTGTCATTTACTGAATGTGTTGCTCTCTGATTGTATGGGAATTGATCCCCAACGGTCTTTAGTTTAATGCATTTGGGCTGAGCCCATCTTTTTACCCAAAAAAGAATAGAAACCAGCAACCCAAACACCGAAATGATCTCTAAGCAAACCTCCACAACCAGCCTTAGGGTGTGTTTGGATAAAACCAAACCATGGTTTGGAAAATAGCTTCTGAAAAATAGATTTTGGAGAGAATAGATTTTATGAAAAAGTGATTCTGAGAAGTGAGAGTGTTTGGATAATTGTTACTATAAGCACTTTTTATATGTGCAAATTACTAAAAAGGGCATAAATTAATATTATAATTATATAAGGGATAGATTTTATAATATATTTTGATTTGAAGAAATAAAATTGTTAATAAAATAATCTTTACTAACATAATTAATAATATATAAGATAATATAACTAATAAATAATTAATATTTGTACATATATTTATAAATTATAAGATTAAATAGTGAAGAACCAAGTGTGGAATGAAGAGTGAGGCATCAATTATGGGGGCTGCTTTGTCATATGCTGTTGGGCCCACACCAATGTCTTGAAAATTTGAGCCAGAAGCAATTTCAAACCACTTCTGCCGAAATCATGGTTTTGGGGTTCAAAACCATGGTTTGACCCCAAACCATGGTTTCACATTTTCTGCCCCCTGTTTGACTGGTTTCTTCCCCAGACTATGGTTTGGGTCTCCAAACCATGGTTTGGAGGGACATCCAAACAGGGCCTTAGAATGAACCATAGCACCGTCTACATTTAGCATCACCCAATTAGACGGTGCTGTTAAGAATAGTGATTCTATTTTTATTTTTATTTTTTGGTAAAAGAATAGTGATTCTTTAAATCTGTTGAATGTTGTAAAGTAGCTAAGTTTAGGTTATTGGACTGGGCCAAGAAAGCCTCGGCCCATTTCCCTGTATTTCCTGTGCCTATTTATATGGGCCTGGTCGTGTTTCCATGTATGGATCTCAGATATACTATTCAATGAGAAAGTGTCATTTAATTCCGGGCCTAATTACGGTGTGCTAACATCGCATCAAGAGCCAGGCTTCCTGAGATCCATCACCCAAATAAACCAGCCTGACATTGTTTTTAGTCTCCCGATACATAAAAATTATCAGGTTTTGCTTCTCTCAAGAAAGCTTTTTCCATACACACCACCTGGTTCAAATTTAGAACATCATGTTTAAAAGACTTAGTCACCTGCCAACTATTCCAGGTTTTGTTGGTCTTCATCCCTAATTCTTTCCGCATATTTCCAGTTTCTTCCGTCAATTATTCGTTCTTGTTTCCATCGGAAGAATTGCACAGCTTGGCTTTAATTTTCTGAACATGAAATTAAATGCGAGCACGTGACATCTCAGTCATGCATCAAGAGGTGGCACCATCTCCTTATCTATTAACACTTCAGGAAGCCCTTTTGTTTGATTGTGTCGGTAATGAATTCACACCACAACTTGTTGTATTTTTATATGATTAATTAGATTTTGTCTTCTTTATGATTCAAAATATTCCTATCCTGAGGTTGTTAATTGATTCGATGGGTAATAAGCTAACTGCTCAGATTTTGAAAAGTTAGCTATTTATTTCTTTATCAATTATATTAACATCAACTTCAAACGTATGAAAATAGAATAAATTGTATTAAGGTCCTACATAAGAAAATTAAATACAAAAAAGTCTTTTGAAATCATCAAAGTAATCTGAAATCCTAAAGAACCTCATTGCAAGACATTTTATTTGTTCAATTACTAAAGTACCCTCACTTTGTTAATGTATGTATTGATAATTAAAAAAGCAGTCATTAACAACTTGAAGTACAACGATTAACAATTATAGCAACATGTATAAATAACAAATTTTCTCAGCACATCATAAAGATTTAATGTATGGGTTGTTAATATTTACCACGATAGTTGTCAATTATTATATTTTAAATTGTTAATAACTAGTATTTCAGTTGTTAATGCATATTTAAAAAAAATGAGGACAATTTAGTAATTGAACAAGTAAAGTCTCTCGTAATGAGGTCTTTTGAAATTTCAGATTAATTTGATGATTTCAAAAGATTTTTTGTATTTAATTTTTTTTGGGTGGCATCTTAATGCAATTTTTCCTATGGAAATATGCGGACGATATTGCGGTCACATGTTTTCTGATTCACGCAGGATCACGTCCATTCGAAAATTTTCGAATTCTTAAAATTACTCTTAAACTTGGACTACCCACAAACCTACATGTACACAGTACTAGGTATTGCGATTTAATTTTAAGAATGCTCGAAACAGATTAGACCAAACAAATCATAGCAGTTTGGCTTTATCTTCAGGTGAAAAATCGAGCAGTTTGATTATACTTTTGATTTGAAAATACTTAAATCAAACCAAAGTTCACTAACCATATATACTTGCCCAAACGTATATTAAGAAAACAACACTGCATCTTTCAAAAAATAAGGAATATATATAATTCAATCTTATATATATACATATTACGTGCACGGTTCGTTTATGGATTTATACGGCTGGGTTTGGTATGGATGAGCCATTAATGAATAGGACATATTCCTACCAGACAATATGAATTCCGGAAGAAAATATAACCCAATTGTTCAAAAATTAGTCAAGTTATAGCAACTCAATTATAAATTACGTGCATGTTCCAAATTTTATCAGCTTTCTTTATTTTTAAATATAAGTCCTAATTTTTGCCTCCTTTTTATTCATAAATATAAGTCATAATGCAATTTTCGAGATATAATAAATACTTTGTTTCTAAAACTAATTTATCTAATCCCAAATATATATTAGTCATTTCTAATTAATTCATACGTGCTAGTAAAAATAATTAAAAATATTAAATTTGCCATAAAATTAAAATAATTTTTAATAGTACTACTAACGCTAAACTTAAACATCATAATGTATTATTCTATACTCTCTCTCACTATCCCTATTAAATCTGGGCATGTATGGAAGAAATTTTTTTAATACTTCTTAAAACTATCAAATACTTCATAAAAAAGATCAAAAATACATTGTAAAAGATGCCCTATACTTATATGAAACCAGAGAGAGTAACTCTTCGAAATTTCTAGATATAATTAATACTTGTTTTCAAAAAAAAAAATGTGGCACTAAATAGAGGGTAATTAAAAACGAAAAAGAAAAACCGAATTTAACATAATACATAGATTTTGATATCTTATTATATAGTTTATGTGCTTTTCAATACTAGGGCTTATATTTTTTAGCACCAAGGAAGTATACAGGTTCTTAAATTTTACCCTCTTTTTCTCGAAATCCACGAAACACAAAGGAATGTGTATATATACACTTTCAAACCAAACCGAAATTTCAGGGGGGAAAAAAAAAACCCGAAATGAATGAAATGAATAAGACACATTCCCGCCAGTCAGACCCAATTAATCATGTATGTTAGGTTGCTACGTATAAGGCACATGTCTTCTTGAGCTGGACTGTTTCTTGGTGGGTCTTTCTTCTCGTCATCACAGCCATCCACTGGTCTTCTAACAACCATCATTAATGATTTTTTCTTTGCGTTATTTATTTATTTATACTATAAATACCAGATCTCTCAGTGGTGATTCCGGTTAAGTCCTGAAGAAGAAAAATGGACGGTGCACCAGAAAGTCAGGAAATGTCGTACTTTGATCATGTTCAGAGACGCCAGGAAGAGAAAGGATCTCTCTATGCTTGGTCTCTCTACACTTCATTATATATATATATATTATGCTCCTTTAATTAATTAATTAGTCTCTTAGTTCTGCCTCTCTATCTGTGTTTATATTTGAAGTTTCAGACATCTGAGCAAGTTTTGTTATTGTTGGTTTGATTTCAGTTTGTTTGCACTTTGCTGCTGCTGCTGCTGCTATGAAACTTGCGAGTGCTGCTTGGAAACCATCTGTTGTTGCTGCCTTGGTGATTGATATATATGTGTGTGTGTGTGTGTGTGGATGTTGATCGTCTGGTGAATAATGTAAGGGATTTATATATGCTTCATCGTGTAATCATTAATTCAAGGAATTTTAAATTTATAGCAGGAGAATGATCTCTTGTTCTTGTTGTCATTATATTATGTCATGTATGTACTTAATTAATTTCCTATTTGTGTGTGTTTTTGTGGGTTTCTGGCCATTGGCCAACATGCACGTGTCCTTTTGTATTTGTGTTATACTTGTCATAGAAGAGTAGTAAATCCAGTGGTTCATGGCGAAACAATTAACATATATTGTTGGGTTAAGATACATTTACTGTCTTAAAGTATTTCGTAATACATCCAGTACTTGAAGTATTTTTTAACTACATCTAATATTCTGAAATATTTTTTTTTTGTCTTTGTGCTGGATACATTTGAAAAATACTTCAAGGTATTGGATACATCAGAAAAAATATTTCAATATGTTAGATGTACCTTATTGTTTATTGAAAGGATAGTTCTATAATCGAAATATTATGTTGTTTGGCTCCATCAGGAAATGATATAATAATTCTTTCGATTATAATTGTGATAGCTTCAAATTTCTCAGTAATTATATGAAGCTCCAAAACATGTTCAGTTTCATCCCCCCTCCTTTAATCAGGACCCGAGGTAGTATTTACTATTTAGGGGGTGTTTGGATAGAAACCAAACCATAGTTTCAGAAGTACTTTTACGGATTACGAAATAAATATGTGGAGGAGATTATTTCGTTTTACGGAAAAGTGCTTCTGAAACCATGATTTTGGGTTTCCCAAACACTCCCTTAGTAAAGTTTTGCCCCTTGGTATAGTAAAAATGAAGCAATCCCTACTTTGGGCTGACAGACTTTATAGCGCCGTTAAGTTCTCTTATTGAGAAAAAAAAAGAAAGAAAAAAGAAGCTCTCATATTGCATTCTCCCAAGATGCCGACACCATCACTATCGCTGGCGACGGTGCCGTTGGTATAGCTCGTCGAGCTGCCTCGCCTTGCCCAATGATCGCCCAGTCCGTTAGTGCCGCCGTCTTGATCATGTGGCGGCCGTGGGATCTCCACAGAAGCAGTGGAGGATAACTCCAGAGGTAATCTCCGACGACGAGGTGTGGCTAAAATGAACTAACTGGCTAAGAAAAGCATAGATGAGCCACGCCTGGTTGTTATCAAGGCGCCTGACCTCGGCGCTGACAAAGGGGATTCCTTTCACGAGAAAGAATCGGAGATTGGAAGAGGGAAGCTTGAGAGTGATACTGACAAAGTAATAATATGAGATTTATTTAACTAATTTAATTAGATCAAAAAAGTTAGGTAAATTAGTTAATTATAAAAATTATGGTCGAGGAATATTTATAGGAATAATTTAGAAAAAATTAATAAATAAAAAATAGATCTTATATTTATTTATTAGGACTAAAATTAACTCAACAATTAGGTCTATATTAAGAAATAGAAGAGTATATATATATATATATATATATATATATAAGCCTTGTTCATAGCTTCTTCTTACCTTCGAACTAAGGAATTAAAGTGACCTCTCTATCCTCTCAAACCTAAGACTCTTCTTAGGATTTTATTGCAGACAGTACGTAATGGTTCAAGAGAAGGAGATTGAACAGCAACAGTGAAGTTTCGCTCGCAGCAAAGAAAATAAACAGCGAAGCGGACATTGGAGTAATAAATGTTCGGCTGGGTTTTCAATTGGCATGAACAATGCGAAGCTTTTTTTATCTGTTATCATCGGGCTGGCAATTGCTATACTTTTAATATATTAGGAGCTAAAGTACATCTTGAAGTGTTGGATATATACACTTCAAAAAATAAAAAATAATTTAGGAATGCTAAGTGCATCTTAACCCAAACATTTTTTCCCCAGGTATGCACAAAATATCATAACTTCGATGTGATAAAGGTGTGATGAGCTGTTACAGCCCCCACATCATTATTATATATAATCAAGGTAATACATCAAATATATATATGGAATATTGTTGGGAAAAAACCATATCGCTCGTGAAATTTTTTCCTTGCTAAAAATCGAAATGTGAGCCATGCTCTGAGTCAGAAATAATACAGTTTTTTTTAAAAATAAATAGATAGAGTTATATGGATATGTAGAATATATTTTGAGGAAAGACCAGTAGTTTTTTTTCTGCTTGGCCTGATGCCAAGACCGGCAGTTAATAATATGTTAGGTTGGAAGATGAAAGTGGTCCAATGATGGCCAATTTTAATTAATGAAGGCATATGTAATACGGCACTCGTGTGTATGGAATGTTCACACGCAATTATATTATGGTTGCGCTTGGGCTAATGTAATAGTAACACTAGTTTTTAGTATAAAATCCAATTGATTAATTTAAAGAGATTAATTAAAAAAGTTACTAAATTAAAAAAGTTACATATGCAGATCATTAGATCATATATCAATTTACAAGTAAGACAAATTAGTTTGAAGTAAAACTATAAATATAAGTAGTTTAAAGTAATCTCTCAAAATAGTTAATTGATTTTTATATTAAGAAGCAAAGTTAGTATATTTATATGATCCTAACGATTATTCGGATGCTGAAAGGGACATACTAAGGTTTCAGTAATCTTCTGAGGATTGTTAGAGATAGCGTGTGATCACAAAGGTGCCGCAGAAAGGCTTGCAAGAAATTCTTCTTCTTCTTTGTACTCACTTGCTTTTCAACCCCAAAACTCATTATTATTACAAACAATAATAATGCGACGCCTTTTCTTTTCTAACTGACATTTATATGTATTTTGACATTTACTGGTGAATATAAAAATATCAACATATTTGGTCTTTCATATATATATATATATATATATATTCATCCCCAAAAATTGTCTCCATGGTGGGTGATTGCACGTGTTAAATAATTTTTATTTTAATATACATGCAACATTCATATATTACAAATAACTAATTAAATTAATTTTCTCAATATTTACAAATCAATTACGGATTAATCCTCTTTATTTTTTAAATTATTTTGCCGCTTCAGTCGTCGTCAGAACTTTGTTTTTTTCCCCCCAAGGGTGGGGTCCGGGGTGCTCTCGCCAGCTCGGGTGGGGGTCCAAGACGAATTTTGATGAGATGCAGTACGGGTCTATCCGTTACCAATTACCACCGAAATTCCGTTTCGACCCCTTGCTAAAACGACGTGTCGTTTAACTCCTTTCCGCCGGGGGGGTATATAGATGTATCATGGGCCTAGTGCTATAGTTGACCCAATAAGTTTTAGATTTTTATTCACACTTGGGCCTCACTAAATATCAATCAGGTCATCGTCTTTCTTGGACCCGTTTTTAAGTTCTTTATTACGATAGGCCTAGACCTAATTGATTTGGGTTTAAATTTTCTTTATCAACTGGGCTTCCTGCAATCTTGCGCCCATTCCCTTTCTCAAAACTGGGGAATATCATGGGCCCATTATAAGTAGGCCGATGTATTTTTGGGCCTACGAGATTGGGCATTATGAAACTTGCGACCAGTTGCTTTGATAATTTATCTTGGGCCTCTTAGAATGTCTCTTTGGGCTACATTGTTGGCATTTCTTCCCTTCTCTCTGGGCCCCTTGATTCCCCAGTTTGTAGGATGGGCCTATGTTATTGGGTTTAAATTTTCTGGACTGGGCTCATTCACATTCATCGACATAGAAGTATATTGGGCATCTTACTAGGCCGATCATATGTTTGGGCCCATTTCGTTAATTATTCTGTTACAAAACCTCCAGACTGGCGTGAGCCTCCATGAATCTTTTTGGCTAGCATCGTTTTCAATTCTCTGGTGTTTGGGTCAAGGTTTTTTGGACCTCTTTTAATGACATGTTATCACGTTGGATCTTTTTGCCAAACACATTGGGCCGTTTTATTTGTGTTTTATTTATCCCAACTGGGCTCATATAGTATGGGGCATGTGGGCCTAATATAATTATATCAAAGTATATATTTGATTCTTTAATTAAGTTTACATCAAATTTCAATTGAGTCTTTTAGATTGATGAAGTGCATTTTCAGTCCTATAATATTAACATCGATAACGAAAAATATAGAGATGGCGAGTTCGATGCTGACTCACTAATCAAATGATGAAAAGAAGGTATACTCAATCTTTTTATAAAATTCTTAAATTTTAATTATTATTTAATAAATTGAAAAAGAGCCTTTCATCTTCTATTTCTGTTCGACCATAGCTTCGATTTCGGCTCTGCAACTTCACTTCTTCTTTTTTTCCTTGGCTATTCCTATTAGGCATATATCTCAGGAAACCAAAAAGACAAAAAACGAAATTAATGGACGGTTACAATCTTGCTCTATGCTTCGACAGGATCAAACAATAACACATTCGAATTTGTGGGAACAGAGGGAGCCAAATCACCCACCGGCCACCTCCTTCACCGTGAGTTCGTGACCCCTCCTCCTTACTTTTCCCTCAACAAATAACCCTTCTTGATGTTACAAACTTTATCATTAGCATCCGTGTCAAAACTGAAGCAGTTGCAGCAAATTGATTCGCCATGGCTGAATATTAGAAGAGAGCAATATCCTTTTGTTTTTGATGCGTTTCTAACCAACCTTCGAAGGGTGAAAATTTCTTTATGTTCAATAACTCGTGCGACGTAGCTCAAGTATATATGCTTCAGTCCTTCAAGAACTTGTCATTTTTCGATGTGAGTTAATAGAAGAAGTGATAAAAGAAGAAGATGCAATAAAGGATGAGAATGTGGATTCTTCTGGATTCTCTTACCACTTGTTCAATTGTCCAATTAGTGTATTCAGTTGTCCAAAGCTGAACGAGTTACCACTTGTTCCCAACTCTGCCGAATATAAGTTGACACATTGCAAAAGACATCAGATTTGGTGGGACAGTTAGAACTAGGATGACTTCGCGGCCAAGCACAAATTCCAGTCGAAGTAGTTCACAGGTCTTGGCTCCTCAGTTATTGTTAGAGATAAATACATTATCATAATAATAATATTTTTTACTTTCATATATGTGCGTGTGTGTGTGTGTGTGTAATTATTACTTATAACTAACCATTTGTGCTTTATAGATTGGCTTCGTCATCGTGAGCATGTATTATGAACACTGTTTGTCATTAGTTTTCTTTCTCCTGCTTTCTTGTTTCAAGACCTCATCAGTGTGGCTGAGCTTTTAGAGTCAGAAATAAAACAAGTATTGTATGATTTATTGCACACTCCGCATATGTATTTAGTGCACCTCGATTAATGATCATATGTGTGTGTGTGCACGCGCGCG